TTACTTTGGATAAAATCCCTTCTGTAATAAATAAAAGCACTGTATCCTTACCTACAATGCCAATCACATCCGTGGCAATATTTTTTATAATTTATTTAAATACCTTAATAAGTCACAATATTTATTTCCGAAAATAGAACTAAAGTTATTACATACATTATAAATAAAAGCTTAATCTGATTCTGAAAAAAGAAACCCCAAAAGAAATGGACTTTTTGAGGAGGAAATTGATTATGATGAGAAAATGTAGGTTCATGAAGTTAGGATCCAGAAGCCTTAAACACAATTGTTTTTATGCAGTTTGTGAAAAAATATCTTTTGAACAAAAACTATGTAGCAAAAGATATACACATTAATGAGATTTAAAAAATATTTCATACAGACTTAGATGACAATGTATAAATTGGATCTGAACAAACCACACGGCTAGAAAAATGATAGAATGAAGACATTAATACTCAAGTACTGGACAAGGAACTGTTGCAATTTATTTTAATTTGTAAATACCAAAATTTAAAGATGTAATCTGGTATATGACAATTTAAAAAGACCACAAAAACTGTATCCACACTTCCAAATATAGAACTTTGCCTGTATCAAATGCATCTTCTGAAAGGTCATTTTCAGTATTATTAGAACACGCAAAAAATTATTTACAAAACTTGTTAAGCCAATCAAAATGAACTTTTTTCAATAAAATGCCTTTCGAAAATATCACTTATGAAGAAATAACACAATTTTGCATAATTGAAAGTGAGATGCATGTTTATTAGCAGATTTTGCGATATTCCAAATAAGATATGGAATTACTCTTATACGCACCCTCAAGTCACCAAATTTCTCGCCAAACTCCACGGTTGCATATTACTATCTAAATTTTTTTTGTCTACATTTCAAACTTTAAGCCTAAAATGTCTCCAGAAATGCGCAATTTAAGCTAAAAATCCAAAACAAAAAATTTAGATAGCAAAAACATAAAGTTTCTAACCAAAAATATTTGACAAGAATCCATGTACACAGTGATATCTTTTAACTTAAAAAAACATCTATGAATTGCACAATCTAGGTAGCAAACAATCTATGAACTATGCACACCTTGCTTTAATAAATTAACATAACAACAATAAACTTCAAAGAATACCATGTACACAGCATTCTGTTTTAACTTTAAAAAACATCTACGAATTGCACAATCTAGGCAGCGAAAGAATCTACGAACTACGCACCCCTTGCTTTAATTAATTAACATAACAACAATAAATTTCAAAGAATACCATATACACAGCGTTCTGTTTCAACTTAAAAAAACACCTACAAATTGCACAATCTAAGAACTACGCACTATTCAACAAAATAAACTAAAATAAATTTCAAACAATTCTAAAAAACAACAATAACGACAGAAATTCATACTAAAATCAATGAACATAACATTCTACAAAATAAGAACAAGCATAAAATAAAATTCACTTACCATGAATGAATGCTTTTTTGAACAGCAGAAATATCAATTTCATGCCATTTATATGACAGACAGACACACTATCCAAAAAATTCATACTATGGTTCACAAATAAATGTTCAAAATCTTCTTTTCCTAAATCCTTGTAAGATTTCCAGCCATCCGAAAAAACAGTTGTACTCAATCCACTTTTTAATACACTGCATCAGCATTTCCTTACTTCTATCATGCATAACCACTAAAAATAATGTCCCAGACCCTCTTGCAACCACGTCTCTCATTGCAACATAGGCCACTTCAAAACATGCATGACATGAACCAACAAGCAATTAAAACATTCCAGCAAAAGAGTATTCAATGTCAAAAGGGTTGCCATACAACATGCAATCGTGTCAAAAACCAGCGCAGAACACATATCGCCACATTTGGTGATCTTAGGGCGCATATAAAAGTAGAGCCTATTTTTATTTCTATTGCAATAAAAACTAAAATTTATTGTTTTGTATAGGAAATTTTTTTGTTAATAAATATTAACATATACAATACTTTTTTTAATTAACAATGAAATTTATTTATTTATTTCATTTTCTAATTTTTTTGGAGAGTAAGAAAAAGTGTCTAGGGTTCCAAAATAGGTTAATCCGGCCTTGGATTGAATATTGATGATTTTTATACAAACTATCAATTAAATATATATCATAAGTAAAACAGAAAATCATAGATTTAAAATGCTTAAAAATAGCAAAGATCATCCCATCAATATGTAGTATAAAAAGAAAAAGAGTGAAACAGATGACGATAAAATTTTTACGAGAGAGACACAAGAGATCAAAATTTTCTCTCTCATCATCGTACCAAAAATAAAATAATCATAGAGTTAATGTTTGTAATTATAGTCAGAAGTCATTCGGGAAATTTAAAGCAATACATATGCTTGCATTACAATTAGGAAAGAAATCGGTAAAAGTATATTTTAGGGTACCCCTTGGCGAAACTTGGCGATTTTTCGCGGTACATGGATACCGATTTTGTGGAATTCTTTGACTCGTTATTTTGGCTTGCGAAGCGGCGATTTTTGCTACACAAAGCCAAAATAACAAGACAAACAATTGCATAAACTTGGTATCCATGTGCACATCGACTTATTTTCACTTAAAAAAAAAAATCCTTGAATTGCACAAAAATGGCATTGTGCACTCTTTTAACTTTGTCCATGTACACGTTGACCTGTTTTCACTTAAAAAAAAAAAAAAATCCAGAATTGCACAAACTTGCATTGCGCACTCCCTTTACTTTATGTATGTACACATCGATATATTTTTACAAACAAAGTCAAAGGAGCACCAAATTCTACAATACAGGCAAACAAAAAATACATAATCTCAATAAAACACATTTTAAACTAAACAATAAAATAACATAACAAAGGAAAAACATGTTATACATTTAAGCACTACCAAAAGCAAATATTCACTTACCATGATTTTCGAGTTCGCTTTGTACACCCAGAGCCACGTAAAAATCAAAATATCAATCATACTCAAATGGCTTTTTTCAAACCAGGTACTCTTTCTGATCGAATGCTTCACATAGTGGCCATCTGAACCTTTCTTCCTACAAACTCATTCAAATCCATCTAAACGGTTTTTACATTCGACTAGACGCATATCCTTCCTACATAACAGGACACTTATAAAGGCTACTAAGTAAACCTTCATTTACACACCACTCAATTAACGTTCTTTTCTCCTTTTGTTCCAAATTGTACAGAAGCTTCAAATTAATCTTACTATATTCAGCCATTCTACCGTCTAAACAATAAAAACAACATACACCACAAAAGCACTTACAAAATATCCCACAATTCAAAATTTCCCAGAATCATGCACCCAATTATGTCACAATAGGGTTTCCATAACATTGAACTACTCAGGCTACCATAAATGAAACAACAACTTGGCGATAAATCAAACAACATCTTCGCCATAATACAAGGGATACCTTAAAGTCTACTCTACCCAAGAAATCAAATACAGTCAAAAGTCGTTAATTCGGACACCCATAATCCGGAATGATCTATAATCCAGACTTCAAAGCTACAAACTTTCTGCGCATGCGTCGCGTTGACGCATGCGCATAAGACATTTACGGCTGCGAATATGCTTGTGCACGTGCGCAAAACATGTTTACGAGTGTGTGTTTAATGTATAACAGACGGTATAAGCTAAGCTAAAATTATCTAATTACCTATTTCAGTTAATGTTGCAGATTGCGTTGTTCCTTAATCTTCGAATTGGATCCAGCATATTATTTTTTGCAGACTGTTAGAGCAATTTTATAAAAGTAAGCTTGAACTTTCGATCATGTCAAATAGAATTTCTGATATATATTTATTAATATGTAAAAGATCTACAAAGCGAAAGTATATTTCAAAGTTCATTACACAAAAAGTGGAATTGCGGCAAAAAATGGATAAAGGCATATCCTTTGTTTATCTAAACTTTAACGTTTGTTTATCTAAACTTTGTTTATCTTTAACACTGCGGTGTGCCATGAATTGGAAGTTGATCTGTCAGCACTATTCTTATCTTCAGGGCACATGTTTTTATTTTATTTGGCTTACAATTCCTTTCTAAATGTAGTATTTCATCTCGATGTACTCCGTCTTAGATATGATTTAAATCAAATTCCTCGTCATTATAATTCGCTTCCGGACAGAGGTTATTGAAAACGAAAAAATTTCAATTGACAAATTAGTCGGTAGACACAGCAATTATAGGACTTGAACAGCGGAACTTTGTAACTGAACAAGAAATTATGTCTGTTTATAGAATTAAAGAGAATGTATTATCACATGAAAAACGAAGCAACTTAAATAACTTACATTGAAAGAAACGTTTAATAAAGTAAACAAATAAATATTAAGCTTTTTTTTTTTTTTGTAAATTTTGATACCCTTTAGAGCATAATTGTTCTTTATTTCATAAATTACGGTTTCATATTTTTAATTTTAGAATTTCTGCATGCCATCTTACCAGATTAAAACTGATGATCTATAATCCGGAAAAATCGATAATCCGGAATTGCCGAAGTCCCGAGGAGTCCGGATTAACGACTTTTGACTGTAATACCAGAAGTTTAGTATATTTTCAATATTTTAGTTGCAAATACTTTTATCACTTACAAAACAGAAATAAAGATAAACACAAAAATAAGAAATTTCAGAGAATTATCTAAAAATAAAATTACAGTTACCTACAGATTGAATAAAATTATGTTCTTATGTAATCAGCATAATATCATAATCTGAAAAACTTATTTATAGAGTAAGTATTAGAGCTGCATGAAAATTATGTTGTACAAACAAATGATGTTACATGGACCATTCAAATGTAGAAAAATGTAAAGATGACAAAATTTTTTTATACAAATTGACCTGACCAATCTCAGCCGTGAATAAAATATTTACTAAGCTTATAGAAATTTTAAATAGGTAGGAAAAAATGTTAGAGGTAAAGTTTAAAGCTAAAAAGCATACCTTTAATCATCCATTCGAGATCTATAAATGTCTGCCACAGCTTTCATAAACGATAAAAAAGTTTCCTCTTTATGATTTTTCCTCCACAAATATTCAGCAAGATACGAATCAAAATGATCCTTTCTTTGTTGAGGATCTTTTCCAATAGCCATCCATGTCCCTAAACACCTACGCATCTGTAGATCCGTCCCACAACCTTGAAAACTGAGACTGCGATTTGTACTGAGCTGTATAAAGCCCTCATTAGGGTTACAGTTATATGTTTCCCAACAGTCTGAAATGATCTTAGATTCAGGCAAAACATATGCTTCAAGTACTTTCAACAAAACTTCTCTACTATGGCTGTCAACAACAGTAAGAAAGCATTTACTTGTACCTCTTTCTATTCCACAAAATATACGTTTTCCTTCCATATCACGACATCTAGACTTTCTACATTTACCTTCATGCAAGTCAACAACTACTGCAGGACCTCCAAGCACTACGCTATCTCTACAACACAATTCAATGCATACCTCACGACAATACATCTTCCAGTCTATAACTGTGTGCGTCGACAATTGCAATTCATTTGTAATAAATTCATTTGTCAGCTTCATATACCACAAATATGTCAGTTGCAAAATCATACTCAGTGACATACGACTCTCAGCAAACCATGAATCTTTTCTCACACTTCTCTTGACTTCATGAAAATTGTCCTTACTCTTTGCACGACAATGCCATTGCCAGCCATCAGATAAACCTTTTCTCTCAGTTAATTTCATATTGTTGCTACATATTGGACATACATAACAGTAAGCTATTAACCCATTTTCCATACACCAATCAATTACATTTCTTTCACCCATTGCTTCTAACTTAAATAAATATTTTAAGTTTACCTTATTTGCTTCAGCCATGTTGCATATATGAGGAAATGCAATACACACTTGAGAATGCTAAAGCTATTCCAAAAATTAATAAGTTAATAATGCAACTTACTTCTTTAGTGACACTATTCAATACAGGACTAAACACAAGAGACCTTCCTTGTACTAAAATCGATCTCTGAATTAAGCCTAATTTAAAATAGTATTCACTATTCCACATACAGACAAAACATAGCAATTTAAAGTTTGAAGATTTGGATAACATTTGATAAATATAAATTATTTAATAGATGGAAAAACAAGATTCTACAGTTAAATATAACACATGCTCGTTACTAAACCATTCTCTTCAGTAAGTGTATTCTAATTAAAAGCAATAACATTTATTTGGCTATGTAATTATTTGTTGGGTTAGAGGTTGTTTGTTACCGGCGGTGGATTCCAGATACAAGATATGCTTACTATTTCTTTCATTGTTATACTGCTTTTCTTCAAATTCAGAAGGAGACTTTGAACACCTTAGAATGCTGGGCCTCTTGCGACTGTTTTAGAAACGCACTAATGGTACATTTTCTAAATACAGAGTTTATTTGTATGAATTATGGAGCATAATCACAAGTGTGCTTGACTCTCCAATCTGTACCACTCATAATAATTAATCCGAAATGGAAAAAATTTAGTTACAGCAGTGTGCTCGTCTCCCTAAAGGAAACTAGCTCGTATATATTTTTTTTTCACACTTAGGGAAACTCGCGAAACCGTAAAGGAAGCAATTTCGTTTCGACAGTTCAAGCTTAGGAAGAAACTATCAGCCCTCAGACGCATGTGAGCGACTATACAAATATGGAAACGAAAGCCATTTATAAGCTGTATGTATTACTTAAAACATAATATATGAAACAAAGAAATTGCTTTTTTCATAATATGTTATTCAAAATAATAATTTTCTAACCACAAATGGAGAAAAATTTTCCACACTTAAAGCACCTCCATCAAGAATTCTTCTTAATCCTCCATGCCAATGTAAACACTCGGCTGATGCATCATCCATAAATACTAATGAATCTCTAACATGTTTTGAAACTTCCGTCCAATGTTGACCTAAGTTATCTATAAATCGTTTTACAATCATAATGATATGCACCGATTTGTTACATTAATATTTCATACGAAACGACATTAACGATGAGAAACCTTCCGTAAACACATATAGCAGTCGACGCATCAGTCATTCTCTTCTTCATTAACCTCCTTGTTCGTTATAAAAACAGTAATGTAGTTTATGAATGAAATATCTATAAAAATATTCCTAAATTTTATTATTACAATACGTAATAAAAATGAATTTTTAAAAGGGTTATAGTTCTATATAAATATAAAATTTTTGAACGATATCATTAAATTACAAAAAAAAAAAAAAAAAAAAAAAAAAAAAGAGAATGGGAGAAAGAATTTTTTTGCTCTTAATTTAGGGTATTGGAATTGGCAACATTATTTGTAACGGTGGATCTGTAGATGTTATTCAACTGAAAATTGTGAATTTGGAGAAATTTAAGTATTTTTAAAAATTGACCATGGCTGATGAAGAGCTTCCGAAGGGGTGGGAGAAAAGAATGAGCCGTTCAACTGGTTAGTTTCACCAAGACCAAAGGTTTTTTTTTGAGGGAAAGTTAAGCAAATTAAATAAATTTGTTCCGTCAGCTTTACAACTTAAAAGAGTAATGTTAAAATAAAATTAAAATACAAAAAGAAAATTGCATCTATCGTAGGAATACGTATGATAATTTTAATTACATTAATCTTTTTAATTTTTTTAATAGCGATTTTTTGGTGCGATATTAATTATATTCTGTTTATATTAATATTTATTTATGCTTGAGAAGTCGAAACCACTTCCCATGCATGTCTGTGCTTTGAAGGTATTGAATTCGCATGTTTAAACAGCTTTAATATGATGTATTTAATAATATCGAAAATTTATGTATAATGTTTTTACCAATAAATGAATTATTACATTTTTTCCTTAAAGAATCGGAAAGGAATTTTTTTTTCCCTTAAGAGTCTTTTATTTGTAATAAAAAAATATTATTAGCTCAATGTCTGTAATTGTGCAGTATTGTGGGAAAAAAGTTATACTGTTGCTTGCAATAATTATATTTTTTTACACCGAGTGACTAAAATAGAAGAAAAATTTATACAGCCGAAATATGTAATGTTGAAAAAAGTATGTGAAGTTACATCAAAATAGTATTTGCCGCGATCTGGGAAAGGTCAAATCAAATCACATGCTTAAAAAGTTGTGTGTAAAAAAGTATGTGTTCTAGGTATTTAAGTTTAATTAGTTTTAGGTTCCAGGTATACAGGAGTATGTTATTTTCAAATGATTAGCTTCAAATCTGGTACTGTTTTGAGTAGTATTGCTTTGTTTATTTTTTCATATTGTAGTGAGATATACAGTATTAAATATGTATTATGTATAATTTTTAGAGGCCAAATATTAATGAATTTTCTAAATTTGTTTGATCATCTCTATAATTATTTATGATGCCAGTTTTGGAAATATCACTAGTACAGTTGCCATTGTCATTTGTATATGGAATATAATCTTTTGGCCTTTTTTTCCTAATAGATTGCTAACAGTTTGATAGAATTTTTGATGTATTTAAGATGATGAGCTGAAGGAATCCCTTCACAAGCTAGGAGAATGGACAAATTGTGTCCTAGCTTTTGCTTAATACTAGATAAAGTATTTTCAGCTATGGAAACTATATATTTTAAATGCAGATTATTAGCAGCTCAGTTAAAGTTCAGAAAAATTAGCTTTCTAAAAGATTAAAAAATACATTTATCACATTTGGTGAGGACAATACTTGTTTCTTTGACATTAAATGTATGATATGTGATTCAATTTTTGAAATATTTGTTTTTTATGTATGCAAGCCTAAAAATGTCTTCTTTTTATACAGGGATACAAATAGAATAGAAGAAAAATAGTTCTTGATAGCTATTGTCGCTAGTTCATTTTAATTGCTAGAAAAATTAAAAGTCATTGAAATTATTAAACTTGAAATATATTTTCAAGCATTGCATTTTAATTAACATAGTAATTTTATCATGGAAAGAATCTGAAAGTTCATGGAATAGTTATATGACAGAGCATGAAATTTTCACAACCTGTGATTTAAGCTAGCACTTTCACGCCTACTGTGGATTCATACCAACGGCTGTCGGTAAAAAACCCACAGGAATAATGCTCGTAGGTATAAATGCTCACAGGAAAAAAGAAATCATAGAAATATGCCCACATAGAAAAATACTCACATGGAAAAATGCTCGCTTAGAAATATGCTCACATGAAAAAAAGCCCGCATAGATATATGCTCACATGGAAATAAGCCCACTGATAAATAAAATACGTAGAGATATCCTTACATTAATGAATCAATAATTCATCGATTTGAACATTGCACATCTACTTGAATTTTTGTAAAGAAACATTATTGGACAAATGCTCATATTAACCATTTCCCAGTCGTTTGGGTACTTGGAAATGGCATTTTTTTTATTTTCCCAAGCGGTGCTCGGGCAAGTTTTTTTTTTTTTTTTCCTCTTCTAGTCTAATACACTGATTTGCCTGAATTTTTTGCTTGTTTAGTGTGTAATGTTTCTAACAGATGGGGCTAGTAATCCAGTAAAGTTAGAATTGCAAAACAACTGGTTTCAAGGTTAGGTTTTACTGAATTCTTTTACGCAAGTAAAGTAAAGACGGGAAATTTCTTTTCACTAGCTCGATGTTTCGGCTACTGCGAATACTATTTCTTTTAAATTTGGAGCTAAAATAAAAGAAAAAATGAATGATAACGAGCAGCTTATATCTGAAGATAACTCTGATAGTGAATCTGAAATTTCACTAAATGATTCTGGAAATAATGACAGTTTGTTTTCTGACTTCTCTAGTGATGAAGAAAGAGAAAGTATACATAATCTAATGCAAATTCGGAACTTTTGTGAACTTGATATTAATAATCCTTCTTTCTTCATCTTAATAATTCTTCTTTGGAATCGAACAGATATGTAATAAAATAAAGCATTTTAAATTCTGACATCTATTTTTGTGAAGTGTTCTTTCCAGTTTGCTTACTTGTTCGAAAAAAGCCAACTTTAAGAAAAAATGTGCTTTTTTACGATGAAAATAAAAATTAGCATAAATCAATAAATTCAACACCTGTAATAGTTCTGACTGCTGATTTGGGTTTATATAATGAATTTCTTCATAAAAATGTTTATCAAAAATATGCTTTTTTTTTTTTTTTTTTTTTTTTTTTGCATAATACGACGGAAAAAAGAAACTTAAGTGGTTAACCTTTTCAGTTGCAGTATATAAAAGAATGAAAACTGAAATATTTTATACCACTGCCCCCTGTACTTTTTTTTCTCTGTAGCTCCCGTAAAACCCTGTTTCCTGTAACCCCTGTAAAAAATGTCCCGACATTTTTTTTTTCCTCCCCTGTAACTGCCAATAGTTTATTATTGTTTTTTATTTACTCTATGTTTGCATACTTTTGATCAGTATCTATAGAAATTGATGTTTGAGTGTAGTTATTTAAGTTTGGAGACAAAAAAGTTCTAGAAGACCACAGTTTCCAATCGAAGTGTGGAATCATTATGTAGCAGCCTTCGAAAAATCTCCTAAAACAACAATTTATTACAAAAGCTTTCATAAGGTACAAAATTCATTATTTAATTGTAGTCATCCTAGTATGTGGTTTTTGTTTGACGGACGGAAAAATGATTTAGCCTGCCAACATTTATTACTAGCTTTTGTAAATACAAGGCGTATTGAAGTAAAAAAAAAAAAAAAAGAAAGAAAATATGAAAAATTACATTTGGTAATCGTGAATCATGTAAGAAACTATGATGAAATCGATGATAAAATTATATATTTACGTGTATTAGCTAATATTCAGTAAGTTTGCAGAGACATTAGGTATTTTGGAAGCAGACGATGTGAAAAATGATCAAAGACTTCGTCGGGAATCGAACCATGGACCTTTGGAATACGCGCCCAGCGTGCAGACCACCACACCACGAAGGCATGCTAGGAAGGCAGAAGAAATACCTTATATATCCCCCTTTTAAAGGGTGACTGGGGATTTTAGGGGACCCAATTGCCAAATCCTGGGTGTGGAGAATCATCATCCACCACCCTTTTAGTTCGGGTGCCACTGTAGAGACATTAGGTATTTTGGAAGCAGGAGACGTGAAAAATGAGCAAAGCCTTCACCGGAAATCGAACCACGAACCTCTGCAATATGCACCCAGCATGCAGACCACCACATCACGAAGGCATGCTAAGAAGGCAAGAGAAATACTTTATAAGTTTATGTGAAATATACATATGTATATACATAACACAAGGTATTGTACTAATTTAATCAAATAATTATTTCTATTGCTTATTCTTTCTAAATGTTTATATTATAAAATGTGTAATATACTTACTATTTTTTTTAACAGTTTAAAATTGTAATAATTTTTCGCTGTATATTCTGTTTCATTTTCTTCCTTCCTCCTTTTTTTTCCTATTTCAAAATGGCCTGTTTGTTAATCTTATATAGCAACTAAATCAACACAAAAGTTATACAGTTTTGATACATATATATATATATATACCATAGATGTTTTGGTAATTTAAATAATTTTTCTTTGAAAAATTCAAGTAGGTGTACGATGTTCAAATCGATTAATTATTGAATTCATGTAAGGATATTTATATGTATTTTATTTATCAGTGGACTTATTTCCCTGTGAGCATATATCTGAGCTTTTTTCCATGTGAGCACATTTCTAAGAGAGCTTTTTTCTATGTAGACATATTTCTATCTGGTCTTTTTTCCTATGAGCATTCAGCCCACCAGCGGCCGAGCGGTAACGTCGCTGAACACTGGTAGTTCGGTCCGAGGTTCGAATCCCGCGAACGGGCTGGCTGCATGGGTGTTTTCGTGGTTTTCCCCATGTGTAACGTGTATACAAGCCAGTTTCCCTTAGAAAGTCCTCCACGAAGGCATCCCTCCCCCTTAGGCAGATAGCCATAGTGAGCTTTGCCATAATTAAATACACACACACACACCTATGAGCATTCATTCCTGTGAGCATTTTTCCTGTGGGCATTTTTCCGGTCACTTATACCAATAGATCCCCCCCCCCAGAATTCGGTACTCTTCTGTTATCAGAATCGGATTCAGAAATGTATGGATGTATTTGTTCATGTATATAATATGTATGTGCATATATACATTTGTGAATCCGGTCCCAATAACAATAAAGTACCAAAAAACCTCCACCTATGCAGCAATAACAGAAATTTCTAGTTCACAACTAAATAAATGTATATTGTTTTGTTAGTTAAATTTTTGTAATATAATCTTAATATTTGTATTAAAATATAGAGTAATATGTATATATCATAGCTGATCCATTAAAGGAATAGGGCCAGTTTAATATCTCTTTTATGGTAGACAGAGGACAAGCACAGCTAACTTACAGTATGTGCACCCGCTCTTGAATTTTACATTGGCACTTCTAACATTTTTGTAGTATATTTAAAGAGAAAAAAGAAATGATATTTCAGTACTTGCATCATTAGCATTACACAAGAACCATGTGTCAGGAATTAAGTTTTTAAAGGATTTAACCTAGATAGATTTATTACATGGTACATCTTTAGGATAGAAAGGAGAAATAAATAAATTTAAAATGAGATTATTGTAAATGAAATTTATTTTTTGTTTTACCTATTCTTGATTTTACATATATGTATATGTACAGTGTGAAAAAAAGGGGGACAGTTCTATGTCTCCCATTCTACTGGGCCGTTTGATGAAATTCATATTGCGTTTTTTATGTCTCGAAAGCGCAACTTAAGATATACATTAGATTTATAGTATATAGTATTGTCCTAATATAGGTATTTTGACACAAAATCGGACTTTTTCTGAAATAACATTGAAAAAATATTCCATTTATTGGTATATGCAAAAAAATTAATCTTATTTCTTAATGAATAAATTATTTAAAAAAATTTAAAGTAGTATAGGTAAGAATATATCTCTCTAATTAAATACATAAATGAGGCTTTTTTTTATCCAATTAATAAATTTATAAGCAAAGATAAAAATATATTTTTAATATTCAAGCTGAAAAATTAGTGCTAATTTTTATTTAATATTGCATTGTAATATGAAAAATATTTTTCAGTTTAGACAGGTTATAACTAAGTTTTGATGTATTAATTGTTTACCTTCCGTTGAGCATTATTACATTTAGGTTTAATTTTATATGACTTGCAAAATTGTCAAATTAATTTAATTTTGTTTATTTATGAACATATATTTTGTTCACCTTTTTCAAATTCATTGAGTGGGAAAATATTGCCTTTGGTGACAGTAGTTAATATATTGCTTTTGATTGTTAGCTTGGTAATTTTTAAAGAGATGTATATTTTAAATATTTTTGTCATTTTGAGAAAAAATTTGTGTGGTTGTTTAAAGTAATGTTTTATGTTTTTATGCCAATTAAAAAAAATTCGTTATATTGCTTACTTTTTGAGGGGTGTTTATTCTTTTTTTATACATACTTATTTCTTGATCATCTAATGCCTTTTAATACAGTATTAGATGCATGGTTTTTGTTTCTTCTTTTCTGTTTTTGTTTCTACTTTTCTTTCATTCCTTTTATTTTTGTGTGGCTGCAGCACAATAATAATTATTGTCCATGGCTGAGTTATTTATTTTATTCTTGGGAATAGTTGTCCAGGTGGGGAGGGGAAGGGATCAGAAGATTTTATTGCTGCATGGCCTAGTTATAATTTCTTTTGTAATTTCAGGGCATTTTAATGGGTTTATTGATAAAAATTTGATTCTGTCTTTTTTTTTTTTTTAGTGTGGATGATCCTTCGTATATTTAATTAAGGCTATCCTGTTTTGATTAAAGCTGTTACTATTGATGAGCTTCTCTAATTCATTATTGTATATGGTGTATCATTTTCTGTATTAACAGTAGAGGCAATTGAAATTCTGACTAGACCAAGTACCTGTAGCAGTAGTTGCACTAACTCTACTAATACATACATTTCTTCATGCAGTGTATAAATGAACTGTGAATTTTGTTTAGTTTAAAAATATTTTAATTCATCATGCAGCATCTAATTTTAATTTGAATACTGCATATTTTAATGGTATTTATTTATAAATACAGTCAAAAGTCGTTAATTCGGACATCCATAATACGGAATGATCTATAATCCGGACGGTCCGGATTATAGATAATTCCGTATTACGGGTGTCCGAATTAACGACTTTTGACTGTATATATTTACTAATATGTAAAGGATTTACAAAGCGAAAGTATGTTTCGAAGTCCATTAAACAAAAAGTGGAATTGCTGCAAAAAATGGATAAAGGCATATCCTTTGTTTATCTAACCATTCCGAAATCTGTTTATCAATTTCACGCTGCTCTGCGGCCAGGGGCGGGGACGCCGCGGCGCGCAATGAATTGGAAGTTGATCTGTCAGCACTATCCTTATCTTCAGGGCAGATGTTTTTATTTTATTTGGCTTATAATTCCTTACTAAATTAGTATTTCATCTTATGTACTCCGTCTTTGATATATTTTAAATCAAATTCCTCGTCATTATAATTTGCTTCCGATAGCGAAGAAAGTGACACAGAGGTTATTGAAAACGAAAAAATTTCGATTGACAAATTAGTCGGTATTCTCGACACAGCAATTATAGGACTTGAACAGCAGAACTTTGTAACTAAACAAGAATTTATATCTGTTTATAGAATTAAAGAGAAGGTATTATCACATAAAAAACAAAGCAACTTAAACAACTTACATTGAAAGAAATGTTTAATAAAGTAAACAAATAAATATTAAGCTTTTTTTGTAAATTTTGATACCCTTTAGATTATAAATGTTATTACAGTTTCATATTTTTAATTTTATAATTTCTGCATGCCATCTTACCAGATTTAAACTCATGATCTATAATCCGGAATCGCCGAAGTCCCGACGAGTCCAGATTAACGACTTTTGACTGTATCTGTAATTTTTTAATTTTAGGACAAGCATATTATTTAAATATTTACACCAAAGAAAGCCAGTGGGATAGGCCTACAAAACCTGCAGAACCTGGCTCTGGAGGAGGTGGTGGTGGAAATTCTGTAGACCAAGTCAGATGCAGTCATTTGCTTGTCAAACACAGAGATTCAAGGCGGCCTAGCTCGTGGAGGGAAGATAGTATAACCAGGACCAAAGAAGAAGCATTGGAAATCATTGAAGGTAACCAAGTAATAATGTTTCTTTTTTGTATGATAATTTTGATGTATAATTAAAATTTGAAGTAATAGTAAATAAAGTATTTTTTCTTCATCAGATAAAATGAATTGGAAGTTGATCTGTCAGCACTATCCTTATCTTCAGGGCAGATGTTTTTATTTTAATCTGCTTATAATTCCTTACTAAATGTAGTATTTCATCTCGATGTACTCTGTCTTTGATATAATTTAAATCAAATTCCTCGTCATTATAAATATCACAAATACACATCAAATGTTTTCTGGTTGCAATTTTTAATTTCGACTATGTGAATGTATGTTTTAACGCTACGCATTGAAAGAAATGTTTATAAGTAAACAATAAATATTAAGCTTTTTTTTTTTTTTGTAAATATTAATACCCTTTAGATCATAATTGCTCTTTATTTCATAAATTACGGTTTCATATTTTTGATTGCGTAATTTCTGCATACTGTCTTACAGATTTAAATTGATGATCTATAATCCGGGAAAACCCCTAATCCGGAATAACTGAAGTCCCGACGAATCCGGATGAAAGACTTTGTACTGTATATACAAAGTGAACTTACCATAAATAATATAGTATATTTGCTATTTGCATATTACCATGCAGCTGTTTTCTACTTTATCATAACCAGTGAAATATTTTACCAAAAATTCATGATTTACAGTAACAGTATTTCATGTCATGAACTGATTAAATTATTTTATTCCAACTTTTGATGAAATATTTAACTCGTGTTCAATATTATATACTTCTCTTTTACAATTTTTAAATTTCAGAAACTGTAAATAAATAAAATATATTTGCACATTCAGTGCAAGAAAATGAAGGCAAATAAAGCAGATACTTTTTGAAAGTTTTAATGAATTGCATGTATACAAAATAACTCTGTTCACTTGCAGTAAGTAAAGGTGCTTTATATAATACGTAACGTTGTTTGTGGAAACGATCACAAAAATTAAAATTTGCCATGTATAGTTTATTATCTGAATATTCAAATTTTGAAGTCACATTGCTAACATAGTAAAGATTTCTTAACACTAAAGAAATTCTGAAATCAAATTTTAAACATGAAAATTGAAATTTTCATATTTAAATGTAATAAAACTCAACAATCTGAAAGAGAAAATTGGAATTGCAAAATTTAAGAAAAAACGTGAATTCTGAATTGTAATGAAAATGTTTGGTTTATAGTTTATTTAATTTAATTTTGGCGAAGCATACCAGGGCGTACGAGGAGGGATGCCTTCATGGAGGACTTTCTTAGGAAACTGGTTCGTATACAGATTACACATGGGAAAAACCATGGAAACACTCATACAGCCACCATGTATACCTAGAATCAACCCAGGTTGAACTGCCAGCGTTCAGCGACTTTCTTGGCCGCCGGTGAACTTATAATGAAAATAAAATTAATTGATGATTAAATGCTAATGTCCTGGATATCAGATTTTGATAAAAAATAAACCAAGTTATTGGTTCAAGATAAACACAAAGGTTCAGAAAAATAAAAGCAATTATTACAGTAGTGATCTAGGTATATCTCCAATAGTGAAACCTTAAAATAGGCTTAGAAACTGTTATAAATTTATTTTAGGGAGCAGGAAGATTGATCCAGTTCAGATTTTGTATCTAAAAAGAATTCTTTAGGTGGTTACATGTAAAAAGAAGAAAGAGGTGTTTTATTTAAAACAAAAGTACAAGTTACAAAATTCCACTTTTGTAGGAAGATTCAGTTACTGGCCTTTTGTGGCAGCAAAAGATTATCCAAAGAGGAGTTTCAGTTTTATGGTTTTTGATTTGGTCTGATAAATTATGGCAAAGCACACTATGGCTATCTGCCTAAGGGGAGGGATGCCACTGTGGAAGACTTTCTAAGGGAAACTGGTTTGTATACACTTTACACATGGGGCAAACCGTGAAAACACCCATGCAGCTAGCCTGTCCGCCTGGAATTGAACCCAAGTCGGAACTACCAGTGTTCAGTGATTTTACCGCTTGGCTGCTGGACTTTTATAAAAAAATGGCAGAAAACAAAGGATCAAAGCATTTCTTTTATTCAATGATTGCAGAAGATTGTGACTAATAATAAAATAGTTTATGGTTTTAAAGCAATTTTTTTCTGATATTTTGATTGCCTCTAAAAACTGAACATTTAGGAAAAGATTACATTCAGTCTTAGCAATCTAGATATTATTATTCAAGCCTAATTATGTGAACTGGAACATTGATGTTGAACAAGGCAAACATAGAAATTGTAAACACAATAATTTAATGGATGCTGATGATAACAAGATATTAACAAATTACTTTCTCACCCATTTGCTGTCTTCTATAGCATAAACTGTGTATCTTAATATGACCATCATCTTACAGTTTCTGAGCTTGCTCTCTTTTTGGTTTTAAAAGGCAATTTGTATTGTACCTATATTATTTCTACAGTCATTGCATTTATCATATTACTACTACATTTAATCCTTTGTTAGGTTTTATGATATATTACTATGATTTGATTGGTATTTTAACACTTAGAAGATGGGTGACAGAAAAAATGACCAGAGCTTCAGAATCATAAAAACGGGTGTAGCCGAAATTTCAGCCAGAGAAATTCTTTCCCTCCATCATTTAGGGTGCGGAGAAAGTCATTGTGTGATAACCTTTCCCTGCCACTTGTCTGATGACCTTCACCTCTCACAACTATGAAATTAAAAAAATTCCCTTTCATTTTCCCTCAACAGTGCAATGTTAACTTGAGGTAAAAACTTTCAGTTGTGTTTCGCATGATTAACTTTCTCTCTAGAATTCTACCTAAGTAACCTAACCATACTGATATGCATATGCGTATGGTATTTACATATGCAAATGAGGTGTGCATGCATATGCAATAGAAACTTAAATGTGTAGCATGTATGTAAGCAGATATATGCATATTATACATATGCACACATGAATAAAAGCATACACATGTACATATGTGTAAATACCATGCATATATGATAACTGTGTATATATAGAGAGAAATATTCATATGTGTATTCATATATTTGGAAATCACAGATTTAAGCTCAAATATTATATTTATATTTTTTTCATATTCAGCATAGAAGTTTTATTCAAAAATACAAAGAGACGAAACACAATAATATTCCAATTACTGATGATTTTATAAATAAAGACTAAATTCCCCTTATAAAGTCAGGACTTTCTATGAGATCATTAATAATTATTCTTATATATTTGCTTTCTATGAGATCATTAATAATTATTCTTATATATTTGCTTTCTGTATTTCTTTTGCTATAAATATTTCCAAATCCAAAATGTATCAAGAAAGCAAAACGTCAGAAATGTATTAAATTACAGTTTTACAGCATTTACTAAGATTTAACTTTAAAAAATCTCTCATTAAATTAGCATTTACTCTTCATTTCCTAGGAGATGATCAAAAGGAGTATATCATAAAATATAAATACATATGTATCCTTTTGCTTCAATTTCTTTCTTCTAAGAAATTGTACCTGTATTGATAACACTCAGGTTATACCTTCGGTCAATTGAATATCACTTAATGGCATATCAGTGATTTCAATATACACTGGTGGTTCTTGAGGTTGTATTCTCTACTGCTGCTAAATAAAGGTTCTGTTTTTTCCTTCACGTACAACGAACATACGGGCCAGTTTCACGCAGAAAGTCCTTAACAAAGGCCCATCAGCAGCCGAGCAATAAAAGCCACTGAACACTGGTAGTTCAGTCCAGATTCGAGTCCTGGTGAACTGGCTGGCTGCTTGGGTGTTTTCGAGGTTTTCCTAATGTGTAACGTGCATATGAGCCACTTCCACTGAAGGTCCCTCCCTTTCCGTGTAGTGCCTAATGTCGGAGCACATAATAAATAAATAATAGATATATTCCTTAACAATGTTATTTTTCCATATAGGCAAACAGCGGTAGCATAATTTTGCATAATCATACAGTTTAATTCATTTATACTATCTTACTTATCTATATTATCTAATTTATCTTATTTCATATTTTACCGAGAGACTGAATTAATTTTCGGCGTAAGCCTTTTTTTTTTTTTTTTTTTTAAATTAAAAATGAAATTGTCATCCTTGTGGTGAAGTAATAACGAGAAATTCTATTCTAATAACATTTGTAATTTCAGTATTCCTCACATTCTTATGCATAATGAAAATACAAGTTAAATTCCTGCAGAAGTGATCTGCATAATAGCATCTATATTTTGGCAGGATAATTATCTATTTATGATAATTCCAGTTTTATACATTAATTCCAGTTACATTTTCAGTTTGTAATAGTCACCATACCAGAGCAGTTAATAGAAATTTAAATTAATACTTATGTTTCAATATAGCCTTCATCTTCTAATTTCAACAATGAAGTATTTTCTGAAATTCAATATGTTACAAATAATAGCACTGGAATGATAAATACAACCAAACTGATCAGTTTTTAGACGTATGAAAAATATATCAAGGGGCAGGAGTAAAAACTGTTCTAAAATGGATTTAGATGAGTGAAATTTTAGAAAGAGGCATCATACATATCAAGTTCTTAATCATGTATTCAAACAATTAAGTTTTGGAAATCCTGTATTAATATATTTATTGATCCTGAATTCGGAACTATACAAGTAAGATTTACATATATATGTGTTACCGTGAAAGACTGAAATTGGAGAATGTCGACTTTCACCAGAGAATGTCAACATTCACCAAATACGTCGGTGAAAGATCGAATATTTCTTTACATTTTTGTACATTCGGACCCTCACCGGTGTATGTCGACAATCACAGATATGCTCTGGTGCAGGTCAAAAAGAGAGGAGTATATGTACATGCTGCTATTCCAAAAGGAAGTGTTCCACAAATAAATGCAGTTGTAAAAGCAAGGGCCTCTTGTGCAATTCAAAGTGTCATAATAGTTTTAAGTTGCAATAAATAAGATTTGAATCACATAATTTGGTAAGTTTATAACTTCTATTATTTTCCTTTCTCATTTTGAATGTACTGTGTGTTTTAAGTTCTTATGTTCTTAAGTTCTTATTCTGAGTCTCAAGTGCGTTTTTTCGCGAATGAATTACGGAGAAGGAAATATAATATTCTTTATGTTCAACATTCACCAGTGTAAGTCAGAAATAAGACTATTTGGAAAATATTTCGGACATACACCAAGCGACTATGTGAATGTTGACATTCTCCAGATTTTGGTGTTTCACCATAACATATATATATAGAGAGAGAGAGACAGAAAGAATGCTACTTGCTTTGCATTTGCCAAAGCTTATTGAAGAAAACAGCTATAAAAATCTTGATAGAGAATGGCATCTGTTGAAGACTAGAAGTATATATAAAAGATGAAGAATTCCCCCTACCCTCTGAATAAAGTTTTTGGAAAAAAAAAAAATGGTATAGGAGAACAAATGATTCTCAATTTAACAATATTAATTAAAACATTGTTTCAATTCTTTCGTTTGTCAGTAGCAACAGAAAAATATTTCCAGCTGTGACAGTGAATCAAAATGTAATAAATCAGCTATACGCTCCCTGAAAAGGGAACTCCTTTTGGCAAAGAAAAAATAAAACAGTAATCAGTGACAAGTATTACTGCATCTCAAGCAAATTAATTTAGCCAAAATCTGTTAAAAATACTGTATAAATGTTTGCATTGTTTTAAGCTTTAGTGATAACTACAGGGACATGAGTATGGAATTTTCTGTTTTCATATTTGTGAGACACATGTTAATGTAGCATTTTGTAAAAAAAAAACTGTTTATAATTATGTATTAAAATAATAATATCATAAACTGTTCTAAAGAGAGGGAAATGAAAAGTAAAAATAAATTTAGTATTTTTTCCTTAGATCTATTACCATTGCCTTGCTAAATTAATACAAAATATTTTTTCTGGATGGTCACATTGTTAACTAATAAAACTGTTTTGTTTTTAATGGTACTACTTTCATCTAATTTCTTTGCATGATAATGTTAAAAATAGTCTCCCTCACTCCAGAAATAATATATGTATTACGCCGATGTAAAAGTGGCTGGTAAACTTAGGAAATTACGTTAGTGTAAAAAAGCAGGTAAGATATTATAGAAAAGTGTTATTTTGTTCTGAATTTTTGTATTCCTACTTTCTAGGCTATAGAGAACAACTGATGACTGGAAAAGCTACATTTGAAGAACTAGCCTCTAAATATAGTGACTGCAGTTCTGCTAAACGGGGTGGAGATCTTGGGTTATTTGGTAGGGGTGCTATGCAGAAACCATTTGAAGATGCATCATTTGCTTTAAAAGTGGGAGAACTAAGTAAGCCTGTGTTTTCAGATTCAGGTGTCCATCTTATCATTAGGACTGCATAAATGTGCCATTTTTGTAATTTACTATGCAGAAATTACTGTTATAGGAACTTTTGCTTCTTGTCCATATTAGAACATCATTTGAAATTCAAGTAAATATGAATATTGTTTGCTTTAAGATGTTGGCAGATTTTTTCCCTCTTAATTATTTAAATTTCATTTATTTTGCAAATAATTTCTTTTGCAAAAATACTGTAGTATGTAAGAAACCTTTTGCATAACTTTACAAAAATTCTCTTATGTAGTTAAAATTTTTAAACTTTTAATTAAAATGACTTCCACTTAGTAAACAGTAGGTTTCATTATTTGTGTACATTGAAGTTAGCAATAGTTTATATATATTTGTATGTGTATATATAAATATATATACTCACATATATATTTAATTTTAATAATATGTCTTAAAGTATATGGTATTGATTGTATTTTTAAAATGTACAACATGATTTCAGTTCTAGGAATGCTAAGTATTTCTTTCAGTTTAATGCTGATATTATTTTTATGAATTAATATATCAGAAATATTATGTATGGAATTATGAAATTGATTGATACTGAATGTAGTTACTTTACGGGCTAATTTAATTAATTATTTATCAGTGATATATTGCATTGAAATGAGTCAGCTATATAACATATGAAATTTTATCAGAGATTACATTATATGGCAATGTTGTTACTGTTGATATAGAATTAGGAAATGAAGGCTTATCTGTAGAAAATCAAACTATAAGAGATAACTGTAATTATTCATTATTGTTATTGTGGTAATTTTTTGCACTATTTTGATTAAGATTATTATTTGATTTGATTTTAAGCACTATTTTGATTAAAAAGGTAAATTTTTATGCCTGTAAAAATGCCAGATTAAAAAATTATTTTGGATATATTGATTTGCTATTAAATAACATTTTCTTATTTTCAACAACTGCTTAATATTTTGTGATTAACTGTAAAGATTGTGTTTAAAACTTGCATTGTATCATTTTGAAATTCTGGAAATATTCAGAAGAATTTAGAAATTAATAAAACATCAAGCATAGATTTAACTGTTATAGGTTAAAATTAAAGTTTTTAACAGATAAAAGTCTTGCATTTTATGTTTTTAAACTAGAGATTTAGTAATCTTACCTACAATTTATTGTTTGCTATTAGAACAAAATTGCCCATGATCAGAATACTGAAATATGCATGAAAACTGTCAAAAGTGAAAAAATTGCAGTGTTTTGGGTATCAGCTGAAAGACTAGATAGCATTTAAAACTTTATTAAAAGCACAAGCATTTAACCTGGAATGAAAAACATAAATAGTCATGAGACTTGTCAAAACCTGAGAGGTCTTTAATTTTCATGAAGCCAGCTTTTCTGCTTGGAGCTTTGTGATGTATATTTGAATTTTTTTTATTTTAAATATGCTTTTAGTAGATCTGTCATGAAGACATAATGCATTCTATCTTGACATAGGTTGTACAAAATCAACAGGACTTACAGTGATGTTCTGCATAGTCTCAGAAGGGGGGGGGACATCTTTAATCATTGTTGGGAAGCTCTTATTTCTGTGTTCTTTAGTTAATAAATTCAGCCATGCAGGTAACTTTGAATTGTGTTTTTTGTTTAGATCATGTAAGAGGTTTATTTTATTCAGAGTTGGCTTACCAAGAACATATTTCATATTAAGTATTAGTATAATAATATTTATAATTTAAAATTAATATCACTGCATCATGATATCATAAGTGTTCCACTACAGGACCCCATCATAACACTGTTACTTTAAACAGATTGTCCAATATGAGCTAAGGCAGAAAATTTCACAATGTATCCTGAATTTTGATTGCATTAGGAGGCTTAGGTTTTTAACTTTCATGTTCCATGACTATGAAGTAAGATTTTCATTTGCATTACTAATCAGAGTAGCAAATAAAACCATATTTGTGTAGATCCAGGTGTAAAGGTGTGTGGACTTTTATGTGGATTGATTTTTTTCATTTTTCAAACTGACTTTTTGTACATATTGCCACCTTTATGATAGCACACCTCTGTGATTGTTTCTGCACTAGCAGACACTGGCTGAACTGCTTATATGCTTGACACTTTTGTGATAGAGCATTACTATGAAGGCATCCTATCCTTAATTGTATTATCAGCTGGAGAAGATCAGAAATTACTGCTTTAAGATGTCATTTATCAAGAGTGAACAGAAAAAAAAAAGAAGAAGAAGATTAGTATCCTTTTTGTAGCTGAGAAAAAACCCATGAGCTCTTCCTGATTGGTAGTCTATAAAAAATAATTGAAATTAAAAAACTAAAAGCAGGAAAAACTCATTTGGACAATAGGAAAGGAAGGAGAAACAATGCGTATACTCTAGAAATTCCTGGAAGAATAAACAATGCGTATCTCCAGAAATTCCAGGAAGATGTGAAACAATGAACATACTTAAGAAGGCTGCTGTCAGTACTTGTCTAGAAGACAGTTTGTCTTTTCTAATTATTTGAAAAATATCAAACTCAAGAAGCTTTGGTCCTATTTACCGTAGCCCATATTTGAACTGTAATAAACACATAATAAATGACAAAATGGCCTGCAGAAGAAAGAGGTTTGATGTTATAAAAAGAAACTCATAACTGCTTGAAAGAAAGCTGACTAATACTTGTGTAGTTAGACACTTCAGATATCTCTTAATTTGTCTCGCTTTGACAACTGCAGACATTTTCTAGTAACCCTGATTGCCATAATTGCTTTAGATTAGAACTTTCAGAGTTTCTTATAGTAGGATGGCAATTTAACTTTCAGCCACCTTCTCATTTGACTCTTGGAAGAGTTTTTTAAATACATAGCGTATATATAGATGCCTGCTTGTTATACCCAGATGTTTGTCATTTTTTTCCCCTTTAGTTTGAAGAGTTCCTCATTGTGTTCTAGTACTTGCAAACTAGCTGTTTATTTGTGTTTTTGTTTAATTTTTCATCTGTTTATGCTGTTTCATTTGAATTTTACCCTCAAGGGCAGAAAGGGCAGCAGAGGAAAAAATTAGCCCTTGTGGGTTTCTTTTCCTTTATAATTTATGTATCAGATAGATTTTTCATTTACTTGCAATTTATCCACAGTTTACGATCTTTTATTTTTATGAGCTGCCTGACATAGAAATTTAATTATATTTCCTTCTTTCTTTGACATAAATGCTTGCCTTTTCTTCTTATTTCTGATAAGAGTTATTTTGGTATGCCCTCAATTGCAAACCTGTGTCTTAAATAAATGTAACATGCAAAATTATGTCCTTATATTGAGTATCCCTGCAGATTCAGTTTTTCACTCCTGGTCCTTCTTGTTCCTTTATTTTTGGTATATAGCTGTTATCTGGATGTTATATTGATAGCACATCAAAGTATCTTAAATTACTTTTGAGCTGTTACCCTTTATAATGTATCTCAGTGTTTTCAATATTTTATAAGAAGTGTGCATGTTTAAGGTCTCTGCTAGTATTTTTGTATTGAGCGAAGTTATGTGAAACTGCATGAATTGGAAAGTGAGCTTAGTCTCATATTAATGTTCTCTCTGACTTCCCAAATGTATGTATTTTTTCTTTGTACATGTGTGGCTTACGTTTTTTACCTGTAAAATTATATTTAGTTAGTTAAACGCTTTTTGCCCTTAAAGTTATAAAACTTTAATTGTGCAAAATCAGACTTTGAGTAATTTGAAAAATTTTTACTTTTCTAATTCAAGTTTGTTTTTTTTTTTTTTTTTTCTTTTTCTTTTCTTTTTTGGGGTGTTTGTATGTTATGGTGTGTATGCATCCACATATGTTTTGCATATATGGTCTTATCATTTCAATCATATTTTGGAACCAAATGTCTCATCATTTGTTTTCTTTATTTTTCTTGTCTTATGTTTCTTTTCATGCTAGTCTTAGCTTAAATTCCCCCAATTGTTTTTCCTCCTCAAATTTGTTTAAACTTGATCTGTACTGTTATGTTATACTCTATTTTGTATGAAATGATCACTGATTCTTAACTAATTTCATTAAATCTAATATTCTGCTTTTTATTTTTCTCTTTTTAATTGATCTATTCTGTTTTGTCTGTTCCATTTTACCACTGCCAGTAAACACCATCTCAAGTAAGTTTTTTTGTTCAGCCAGTATTGCATTATATGAATAGAATCATACTTACAATTTTTTTGAAAGACTTTCCTTCATTTCTGTGATATATGTTATGCATTTAATAAAATAATAATCTTTCTAAGTTTAATAAAAAAACCGTATTCGCTTTCATCAATAAATTTATGCGTTCTGAAATATTACTGTGCAATATTACATATTTCTCTAACTATTAATTTGTATTTAAATACTTAATATTTGATAATTCTGAAGCACATATCACATATTAGGAAATCCATTACTTGAGTGGCCATGTCACATATATACTGTATACTGACATTTAATTAGATACCTCTTAATCATTTAAATGCATCTGGCATAGTAATTGTTAGATCATCCTTGCTCATGCTTAAGAAACATATGTATTATGAATTATTTTCTGTAGTTCTATTTGAAATAAATATTTTATAGTTTCCAAAAGCCTTTGTGTTGTTATTTCATAAAGTGGCAATTCAATTCTAAATATTTTATGTATAATAATTGTAAAATTGAATGAGTGTGGTAAGGTTTACTTCTGTACATGTAATTCAGCCTATACTTTTTCCTTCAAACATTCTGGATAATTAAGGTAATTTATTGAAATAATGATTGAGAATAAATACAGTGCAAAATCCCAAATCTTAATGTCTAGTAACCAGAATACTTTGATATCCTGACTTCACATAAAACTCCCCTCCCTCCTTTTTTTGAGACATTTTCTTTTTCTGACGTGGTGTAGGAATGGAGATGATGATTCTCAAGAAATCTGTAAATCAAATTTTCTCCTGATTAGTGTTAGGTTTTTAGGTTTCTTTTACTAAGAGACATCATTATCAGCGACAGTATTGAATAACAGTATATTATTTTACCCTTAAAGACTTGCTAGTTAGCAAACAGCATTTTCATTTTCAGCCTTTGAGCGACTGTGGGAGAAGTAGCATTTCTCTGTCTTATCTACTTCTATACACAATGAGAAGCTTGAAGACCAATATTTATTTGGAAGAGGGTGTGCTATTTTCTTTTGTTGGCATAGCAGGTAAGAAGGAAGAAAGAATGAGATTTTGTTTAACTTAGCTAGCATTTTGAATTGTGCTCTTCCTTAACTTTCTAATTGGATGTGGCTTATTATTTTCAGGCTATTATTATTAAACTTATTAAAGTTTTAGTAAACAATAACGTTTCCATTTTACTTTTTCCTTAAACCTGTATGTCCATCATTCAACCAACGGATATCAAAATTTTATGCACACTAAAATGCAGATATAAAGTAGCATTTTGACATAAGTGCAGCATTAAGATTATCCAAGAATTCTTAAAATGTTTGAATATAAAATCTTTGTGGAACACTGCAATGTTATGAAAGGATGTGTCTGCACTTTTTTTTTTTTAAAAATTGCTTGCCATGATACATAGACAGCTAACAAATTTCATGATGATGAAGCAGCAAATTTGAAGGTTTTAGATATCAATTTTAAAAGGCAAAATTTTCTGATTAATGGAATATGTGAAGAAATGCTAAATGAAAATGATGTAATTTAAGTCTTCTATTGCATTGAATTTTCAGAATTCACAGAAGGCCCAATCATTGACCAGTTAATGGAATAGTGAAATTAAAAAATGTTGCTAGTTTAGCTTTGAGTCACATTTTAATTTCTTGAGCTGGTTAGTCGAACACAACCTTTCTTTTTTTTCAGAATACGTCTTGAAGAGATAAGATGCATGTTGATAATAATGATTATAACTATGATTAAGTTTAAAACAACATGGTTGCATGAGGATATAAACCAGTGGTACTCAACCTGAGAGCCACTTGCGGTCCGCCGAGCTTTGTTGAGGGGCCCAGCAAGCTATTCCCCGTATTCAAAATTTCGCAATAAAAATCTCAAATGATTGGCTGATAAAAATGGGCGAGATGCGGGCAGGGATAACGACGAAACCAATGCCCTGAATTTAAGCAGCACGTTCTGCAATGACTGCACAACGCATGTCAGTTATTGTGCAGTCCGTCTCAGTAATTGTGTGGCATGAGAAGGTATGCCTAGAATGAATTTAGTCAGGTTGCTGTGGTTGGAAGCATTTTAATACTAGATATGATAGCCACGAAGACTACAGATTTCTTCTGATGTTTAACAATAGTTTAGCGACATGTTAACGGTATTTAGCGACACGTCAACAATTATATCGTTTGCGGCCTGGTGAGTGAGCACGAGTATCCGCACTCTTACTACCGTTGCACATCACTAGACCTCACAACAGGCTATGCCACAAGCTCACTTTTAAATTCTGCACGGCAATAATTCATAAAGCGAACGCAATGTTGATGCCACTGTTACCTGTTAGTAAACTGTTTAAGTTGCAAATCAAACATCTATGCAATTACAGCAAAAACAATACTGGTTTCGTCAAATTTTCCACTGTTGACTGTAATTCCAAGGGGAAGAACTCAAGTATTCTACGAAATACGGCTTTTCTATTTATTCACACGCAATGCGAACTAGTTTCCACCGTTTATGTTGGCGTGGCCGCATTAGTGCGCCGCTTCGCCCCCCCCTAAGGTCGCAGACAAGTCAGTACGTGTGTTTTGCTTGTGTCGTGCGTATGTTGTATTTCTGTCTCTGTAGTGAGGGTGAAGACTGAAAAAATAGTTATTCACCATGTCAGGAGTGGCTTCTAAAAAAAGAAAAATATCCGATGAAAGAAGACTGTTTCAAGATCAGTGGAAAATTGACTATTTTGTAGTGCAAAATAAACATGGGTCAGCAACTTGTTTAATTTGCCGTGAAAGTGTTATATTAAAGAAATATGTTGATCGCCATTTTACAACAAAACACAGATCGTTTAGTGAAACTTTTCCTCAAGGGTCCACTTGTAAGACAGAAGAAACTGGCAGCTTTGAAACGTTCTTTGGTGAAACAACAAAACGTTATGTCGGCAGTGATGTCACAAGATGCAGCGGTAACAAAGGCATCATATGAAATTTGTTATCTTGGTAAGAATATGAAACCATTTACTTATGCAGAAATAGTAAAGGAGTGTTTGTTAACTGCTTCCAGTGTACTATTTGATAAATTCAACAACAAAAATCAAGTAATTGGAGACATTAAGAAACTCCAGCTCTCAGATTCAACCTGCGTTAGACGTATTGAAGACATAGCACACTGTATTTGCGATTGCATAGTTCAAGACTTAAAAAACTCTAAGTTCTTTAGCATGGCTCTTGATTCCAGCACTGACATGTCAGCAACATCACAATATTCAGTTTTTGTTAGATATTGTACTGAAGACAACTCAGTTCAAGAAGATTTTTTTTAAATTTCTCCCAATGAAGGACCAAACCAGAGGCAGAGACTATATTGATATTATTTGCGATTTCTTTGAACAGAACAATATAGATATAAGAAAATTTCTGTGTGCACCAATGGCTGTCCTTCAATGACAGGCTCGGAAAATGGGTTTATTTCTCTGTTAAAAAAGAAATGGCTTAACAAATCTAATAACCTTTTATTGCATTATTTACCAGCACATTAAATGTCTTGAAATAGACTCTGTGATGAAAACTGTCATAAGTACAGTGAATTACATCCAAGCAGGAGAACTGATCCAAAGAAAATTCAAAAGCCTTTTGGAGGAAATGGGCAGTCAATGCAGCGATGTTCTTTTACATACTTCAGTTCATTGGCTTAGCAGAGGCAAGCTGTTGGAAAAGTTTTTTTCTTTGCGGCAAGAAATTATGCTGTATTTACAGCAAAACAATAAAATGTGCAGTGAATTGCAAGATGATGGATGGTGGTGTATTTTAGCATTTCTGTGTGACATTACAGATAAACTTAATTCGCTCAATTTGGATTTACAAGGTGACAATAAAATAATTTCACAGATGGCAAATAAAATATTTGCATTCAAAGAGAAGCTTAATGTGTATAAAGAAGAGATTCAGAACCAAATACTGCAAAATTTTCCATCAATGACTAAAGCTAAAACGGAAGGTATTAATATTCTTCAGGTAACTGTATGAAGATTTCAAATTACTTAATGGCATTATCGGAAGAATTTAAAAGTAGATTCAGTGATTTAAGGAAAATTAAAAGCATGTTCTTACTTCTCGAAAATCCTTGGCACTTAGATACAACAGTCATATCAGAACTGGCAGGCATATTGCAGTTACGTACAGCTGTTTGATGAATTTATAGAGTTCAAGAACAACACACATTTGGAAGCTTTATTTAAAGAAAAGAGGGCGGAAATGGATTATGCCGATTTTTGGAAAACTGTGCCTGGACAATACAGAACTGTACAAAAATGTGCTCGCCTTTTTCGCATCAACTTATCTTTGTAAATCGTCATACTCTAAAATGAAGTATGCAAAAAATGTATACAGAAACCGGCTCACTGATTATCATTTGGATGATGTCTTACGAGTAGCTTGTAGTAAGCCTGATATAGAAAAGATTTTTAAAGTGTACACAATTTCAACGATCTTATTAGTCTAAATAAAGTAATAAATACATTAATTATGTAATTTACGTTTCTTTTTTATTTTAATTGTATTACTTGTCGTAATTTAGTAAACTGAAATAAAGTTAACATTTTTTTTAACAAAAACTAAGAAAATTTTAACAATACGTTTGGCCATATATCAAAAGCTAAGCTGTCAGAAACATACTCTTCTCTAACAATTATGTATTATTAAAATACATTTTCATAATAAAACAAATGGGTGTGGTTATTTCGCATTATCTTGGCCTGTGATAATGTTGCAGCCCACTTTAAATAGTGCTTCCGAGAATGTGGCCCGCGGACGAAAAAGGCTGAGTATGGCTGATATAAACCAAACATATGACATCTGGCACCCAGAAAAAATGTCATGAGTGGTATGGTTTTAATAGAAAAAAACTGCAAAATTTTATGTGAAGACATGTAAATTGTTAACTGAAGTCTTCAGTGTAATGATCAATCATCAGTCAATTAATGGTTTATTAAATCTATGGACGGTTGTTTTAAATCCAGAGAACACCACCATTGTAAGTGAGGAAAAAGTTGTTGAGAATGAAAAGATTTCTATTGGCTATTTAGATCTCTATTTTTAATTCTTGACACAATAATTACAGAACTTGAACAATAGAACATTGTTACTGAATAAGATATTGTATCACTCTATAAATTAGAGTAAATGTAGATACACAAAATGAAATTTCTTAAGCAGCTAATATTGCAAGAAATGTCTAATAAAACAAACTAATCATTAACATTAAGTTTTTTTTATTTTGTTTCTTTTTAAGATGGTAGAAATGCTTCATTATTTCATAAAAAAGCATTTCATATTTTTAATTTTATAATTTTTTATGTTTAATGATCTGAAATCCAAGTGTCAAATTTTGCACTGTATCTAATAACAGTAATTTCATTCTTTTCTTATTTCAGTAGCATTAACTTAAAAAGAA